CTTCGTTGAACTCACGTTTAGGGGAGTTCATAACATAGGGAGAGGATGTACTGAAAACAAGCAAGATATGCGTGCTCCCTATATATACGGATAGCACCCAATAAAAGCCGACTAGATTTGAAAGTACACAGTAATAAAGATATCATTTGCTCCGGATTTGTCCTTTACATTCTATGTATGCGTCAAGCATGGTTTTTTATGCAACTCAACTGTATCATTACATGCAGTACATGGTCCCAATCCACTGAGAATCATAAGGGTGCGAGTGTATAATTTTTGGGGGACAAATATATCTATATTAAATAATAGAAAGTCACATCCATAAAAGAGAAAAAATACGTGTATAAATTTATAAATAAGTAAAGGCAAATTTTAAACAAGTCACGCCACCCTGTCCCACACCAAGTTAATCTTTAACTCCCCTCTTCCGCTGACCTGCCTGCTCTAAATGCGGGAAAATCTGGCGGGAGAATTCAATCTCTTCACCACAACATGGAAGACTTGGAAGAAGAATCGAAAGAAAAAGCTAGAGATACTTCTTTTTCCGAGGAAACCTTCCAACCGTTGGGCTATGTTCCTTCTCTGGATCATGCTGAAAAGTTGATTTCAAGTTTTGAAGCAAAAAACACTGTAAAATTTTTTTGCTACAAGGCTGACAAGAACTTTGGAATGATGGTAATTGAAGTGTTTAAGTTATTTGTTAGCCCAGAGCAGTAAATTTTGCTCTTGGGAATTTTTAATTTTTTTAATCTTTCTGCCTAGGTAAATGAGGTAAAATTTGAAATAAGCCCCCTCCAGCTATGAAAGTTACATATTCTGGATGTACACAATTTTTTATGTCAACAACCCCTTATCTGTATCATGTTACGATCTCCTTTTGTAAATATGTGGGAATTCTAAGTAAAATCATATGTTGCATTTGTTGGCCTTGAAATGGTGGTTTTGGTTGCCTATAGACTATAGAAAAGGAAGTCACAGACTTTATTGGGAGGACCCCAAANAAGGATTTTAATAAGGAATCTTAAAGTAAGAAACTGTTTCTTAAAATGAGAATTACTCTTAAAATAAGGAGTTTAATTTAACAAAGCCAAATTTCTTAACTGGAGATTTGTTTTAAGAAATTTATTTCTTAAAATAAGATTTTTCATTTAAGAGTGTATATTAAATTACCATCATTTCCAAATTTCTTGTCAGCCTTGTAGCAAGAAAGTTTTACAGTGTTTTTTGCTTCAAAACTTGAAATCAACTTTTCAGCATGATCCAGAGAAGGAACATAGCCCAACGGTTAGAAGGTTTCCTCGGAAAAAGAAGTATCTCTAGCCTTTTCTTTCGATTCTTCTTCCAAGTCTTCTATGCTGTGGTGAAGAGATTGAATTCTCCCGCCAGATTTTCCCGCATCAGAACAGGCAGGTCAGCGGAAGAGGGGAGTTAAAAATTAACTTGGTGTGGGACAGGGTGGCGTGACTTGTTTAAAATTTGCATTTACTTATTTATTAATTTATATACGTATTTTTTCTCTTTTATGGATGTGACTTGCTATCATTTAAGTGTTTAAGTTATTTGTTAGCCCAGAGCAGTAAATTTTGCTCTTGGGAATTTTTACTTTTATTAATCTTTCTGCCTTGGTAAATGAGGTAAAATTTGAAATAAGCCCTCTCTAGCTGTGATAGTTACAGTATTTTTGATGTACACATTTCTTTATGTCAACAACCCGTTATCTGTATTATGTTAAGATATCCTTTTGTAAATATGTGGGAAGTCTAATTAAAATCATATGTTGCATTTGTTGGCCTTGAAATGGTGGTTTTGGTTGCCTATAGACTATAGAAAAGGAAGTCACAGACTTTATTGGGAGGACCCCAAAGAGGTCAATGGCACAAAAATAAAGTTCACAGGAGTACCATTGTACATAATGGGCTGCAAGATATTTGACTGCCAGCATGGGAAAGACAGAAATGCTGCCCTGAAAAGAAAGCAAAAACAGCAACGTGAGCAGGTGTGTGTACAATTTATTACAAAATTAGCATCACTGGTTTCAAACACTTGACTTTATCTTCATATTTCAAAACATGTACAAACCTTATTGTTTTGTCTCTTTTTCCAGGATGGAGACTTCACATTTAAGAAGAGCCAATTCCTGGCACAACCATAAAAAAAAGCCAATTGTCCAGCAAGGTTAAAATTACGAGAGGTCATTGCATCTCCACAATACAAGGTATTTAATTTCTTAAATTATTTGCAAAATGACAACTCATAACCATTACAAATATCAAGAAATGAATGTACCCAGAAAAAGCATCAGCAGCTTCATAAATCACCACCATCGTGACAAAATTACAATATCATTGTGTTGGCAGTTAATAAAAGTAATAATATGACTAGTATTAAAGCAATTAACATCTTTTGATAATATTATTGTTATGATATAGACAATTAGTAAAAATAGATTAGATAAAAAATGGTTTCTGGGCAAGTTATACTTCTCAGTTTTCAGTATTCTACATAATAATAATTTACTGATTATTACTGATTGCAGATTGAAAAAGATAGCAAACATGAGAGGTCAAAAACATCTAAAAGATTGAGGGAAGATATGGCAAAAGGAAATGTGACATCTGAGTGGAGAATTTACATAGAGTTTCCGACTCAGAAAGACCATGCACATCATCTCATAGGAGAGGTAAGAAGTGCAATACATTAATTAGTTGCCACTGGAACTCCTACTCAACAATACAACCCAACACTATTTTTCCATGTTATCATTCCAATTGATTCCCAAGTTCACAAGGAATCTGACAGCATTGCACTTTCCTCTCTAACTCAGTGGTCATTCTTGCTAATTACAAAAATGGAAATGTTGCAACATAAGCTAAGTGAAGTTCTAACAATTGTACATGCAATAATCTTATTTAAAAAGAAAAATTGTTTTGTACTTGAATTATTTGAAATCAATAATATTAACCCTAATAACAAGCCATTTCTAAGGACAACTTCTCTTTGTCATATCTAAGGCTATTGCAGGTTGCTTTCACTTTTGGCAGTCACGAACATATTTCGAAAATCACGACATAAAATCTTTTAAAACTAACAAAGCCTACATCTTACTCTGGTGAGAACAAGGTCAATGGTTAAAGTGGATTCACTCTGCAATAATTTTTTTTTTTAAATTCATGACACTTAAAAGCTTTGAGGTCAAAAAAATGTCAGAGCTTTTCCAGTAACACAAACCTTAAAAATTCCATAGGTTTTGCAACTTGACACTCCCTAACCAAATGAACTAAAGTAGCTCACGATATGTCAGATTAGAGTCGTCTAGTGGCCATTTAAGGTGTCCCATCCAAACAACACTCTTTCTAGTGATAAAAGTTATTTTTAGAGCTATGACAGTTCTCTCTGTGTGTGTCATTAATTTAGACACAAAATATTAATAGTCATTTTTTTCATAATTAAAATATTATGGTGATCTGACGTCTCCACACATTTTCATTTCTACTCAGGGAAGTGGCCTATCTCAGCCCGTGGATGAAAGGATTATCAGAAATATTGATCAGCTGGTTAATGTGGGAGTTAAAGACACCCGTGAGATGTGGAGACACCTTGATGTCTTTGTAAAAAATGAAATAATATCAGAGGATGACATCTAGCCACCTCCCTCAAACTGAAGGTTTTATCCTAAGCTTAGTGACATAAGAAGCCACATGTATCGGGCAACCATGAAACACAGATTCTCTAAAGTTGATCAAGAGAATGTGGCTGAAAAAGTCCATCACTGGAAAGCATCTAGCCCAGAGGACTTCTTCCACTTCTGCCCACATGGAGAGGCCCCTTCAGGGGAAGATGATAAGGAAGAGGATACCCAAACCCTTCTATTCATCCATCAAACTGCATGGCGGCGTAGACTCCTGGAAAGATATGGCAATGACATGTGTTTACTGGATGCCACATACAAAACAACCCGCTACTCTTTACCTTTGTTTTTCCTTGTGGTGCACACAAATGTCCACTACCAGGTAGTTGGATTATTTGTAGTGCAAAATGAAACATCCCATTGCATTAAAGACGCCTTGCAACTTCTTAGAAAAGAAAACCCTAGTTGGAACCCAAAAAACTTCATGACTGACAACTGTGAAAAGGAGATAACAGCTTTGGAAGATATATTCCCAGGTACTATTGAGCTGTAGAACCTTGAATAATTATAGAATGTAAACTATAAAACTGTGTTAGGGTATATTTGCTCTTGGAATACTATTTTCAGAATATATCCCACAATTGTTGTGCTCTAACTTCTCTCTTGCCGTAGATATAATTTCTGTCCAGCTACTTACTACATGTTACTAAAAATAGTTTATTACAGGCTGAACATCATCTAGTTGGATTATGACTACTTACCACCTCTTTTCCAAAGAAATTCAGGTTCTTGTCACTCAGAAGTAACAGCACTGACTTCTTGGCTAGTCCACATGAGGGACAATAGTTTGGACAAGAGCAGGTCTGAAACCATTAATCATTTGCCAGATAAGCTAAATTATTGAAACCTTTGAATTGCAGGGTGTACAGTATTTCTGTGTGATTTCTACCGAGAGCAAGCTTGGAAAAGGTGGACAGCCAAAGCAACAAATGGAGTATCATCTATCAAAGATGAAGTACTTGCAAAATTTCAGCTTATAGCAAATTCAGAGACAGAGAAGATATACCAGGAAAGAGTGTGCTTCTTGAAAGAATCCAATTTCTGGAAGGAAAACCAAAATCTACAGGTGTGGTTTGAAAACCACTGGTTAAAAGAGCACAAGGTCAGTGCAAGCTATGTACAGAGAAACTAGCAACTTCTATTGTTCTTACTCTTGAATGGCCTTAGAGAATAAAAGGTTTATGTTGTCTTTGAAGATTTGGAAATCTGTAAATATGTCACTTTTGTTGTCATTTCAAACCTTCCATTTTCTAGCACTGGGTAAAAGCATTCCGGAATTGAAGGAGATCTCCATTCACACAACAAATGGTGTAGAACGCCAAAATGAAGATCTGAAGTACAGCTTCCTGGCAAGCCATCGTGACAAGTCTCTCAGTGGCGTTCTCTCCATTCTCATTACAGACTTTCTTCCAGACAAGTATGCATGGTAAGGGTATCTAGTAAAGAAACAGGAATACTGATAAGCAATAAACACATCATTGTCAACAAGTGTTGTAACTAAGGTGTAAAATGATAGTAGCTTTTACTAGATTTGCAAAATGATAAACAGGGAACACGCACAATGCAATAGCAGTAACACAAAATACAAGCATCATTGTATTCTAATTTTAAGAATAAGAAAACATGAAGGTTGACTTTGAAGCATGTTTTCAAGCCATGTGTAAGGAAAATGAATTTATTTGAGTTGCATTTTCAATCATTAATAGTCAGTTTAGTAAGATTGTTTTTTAAGGTCTATTAACCTATAATTTATTACCTTTAGATATGTAGAGAAGAACACAAGATGCCACTCACTTTACCGTCCCTACTCAAAGGAGTTGCCGAGATATCTTCATAATAGGCCAAAACCTGTTATTGAAACTGCCATCAACAAGATGACACATGCAGAAGATATACCACCTTCCCTCATCATAACCACAGAGAGTGATGGTGTTTTCCAGGTGAAAAGCCAGGATGACTTCCAAAGATGGTACTTTGTACAATTTCGGAACGAAGACCAACAGCCTTCTTGTGAGTGCCAATTCTGGGTGCGCAACCACCTCCCATGCAAGCAGTTCTGTGCTATATTTAGGTATTATCCTGAATTGGGGTGGAATAAACTGCCCCAGCATTACACAAATTCTCCCATGCTTACCTTGGACGAAGCCATTATAGGAAAACCAGCATATAACCCCACGCCACCTCCATGCACTCAAGTTGTTGATGACACCTTAGACTCCTCCGTACCCAGTCAAAACATCCAAATGGAACCTGGCTCAGCACCTACATGTAATGCACATCTCCCACAGAAGAAGTGTTCCCCCAAAGCCTTGGGCAGTATTTGCCGAGAGATTCTTGGTGAGATAAGGCAATTAACATTCCTTATGGATAACAGAGATGAACTGGAGAATTTAAAAGCAGAGCTTCAAGAAATTCACCAGAGGTTCCAGAAGGTGGCACGCTCTGATGGCGGTCTACAAGTAGAAGGTGGAGAACCACAGCCTAAAAAGAGAAAGCTGCAAAACCAAGAATGTCCACGCAAAAAACTGCCTCAAATACCCAAACAACAACTGTGCAAAAAACACAAATACAGTGGACGCCATGGTGCCAAGGCGCAAACAATGAGGAAGACCTTTCAGGTACATGTAGATGTCCCAGCAATAAATCCCCACCAACAGCCCACAAGTAAACAACCTACCCATCAACAGCCAGCAGGTAAACAACCTACCTATTAACAGCCAGCAGGTAAACGGCCTATCCATCAACAGCCTGCAAGTAAAAATCCCACCCATCAACAGCCTGCAAGTAAACATTCCACCTATCAACAGCCGGCGGGTATCCAACCTTTCCATCAACAGCCAGTAGGTAACCAACCTACCCATCAACAGCCAGAAGGTAAACAGCCTACCCATCAACAGCCAGCAAGGAAACAGCCTACCCATCAACAGCCTTCAAGTAAACAGCCAACCCATCAACAGCAAGCAGGTAAACACCCTACCCATCAACAGCCAGAAGGTAAACACCGTACCCATCAACAGCCAGCAGGTAAACAGCCTACCCATCAACAGCCAGCAAGTAAACAGCCTACCCATCACCAGCCTTCAAGTAAACAGCCAACCCATCAACAGCCAGCAGGTAAACACCCTACCCATCAACAGCCAGCAAGTAAACACCCTACCTATCAACAGCCAGCAGGTAAACAGCCTACCCATCAACAGCCTGCAAGTAAACATCCTACCCATCAACAGCCTGCAAGTTAACAGCCTACAAGTCAACATCCACCAGCTCCCATGGCTACTATCAGTCACACAAAAGCAAATAAGCACTATGAAGATGATGTAATTACTGCAGGGTTTTCTTCAGCTGAAACACCCAAAAGAAAAAAGAGATGCCTTAATGACAGGGAGTTGCACATTATTAAGTCTAATGAATGGCTGACAGATATGGGAATCAGCTACTACCAGAACCTGTTACACGAGCAATTTCCATATTATGAAGGATTGGAAGACACCACAATCGGAGTCCATCTTCAATTTTCTATTCACTGAAATGATTTCGTTCAAGTGCTGCATGATGGTAACAACCACTGGGTCTGCATTTCTAACATAGGTTGTCCGGGACCAGAAGCTAATTATTATGACAGTATGTTCACTGACTATCTGAAACCATGTGTCAAGAAGCAAATAGCCTCCCTCATATATGAAACAGGTCCTAAGATTACGGTGAATGTAAAGCCTGTGCAGCAGCAGAGAAATGGCTTAGACTGTGGTCCATTTTCCTTAGCTTTTGCAACCGGCTTATTGAACCATGAAGATCCGAGCAAAGTGGCATACAGTCAGGAGAAGTTGCGGGAGCACTTGATTCATTGCCATCTCAAAGGGAAATTGACATCTTTTCCTCAGGATAACATCCAGAGCAAACCTCTGCGCAGAGCCAAGCCAAAGTCTATACCTCTTGAGTTGTACTGTGTTTGCCGTTTGCCATGGGATAATACTGATAAAGCAAATATTGATTACCACATGGCACAGTGTGACAAATGCTCCAGCTGGTTTCATCGGAAATGTGCCAAAATTCCAGATGAAGTCTTTGAGAAGCAAACAAGCTGGCTTTGCCGCCTATGCTCTGTTTAACTGTTTCATTTATAACAAGTATTGCGGGCAAAGAGACAAGGATCATCCGACAAAGATATTAACATTACTAGAATTAACTTTTGTATGTACATAAGAGTTACTTATTCAGTCTTCTTTAATGGCAATACGATAAATATGTCTCTCTCAAAGCATGCACTGAGGGGGGATGGCTGGCTGAGAGGATACTGTTCAAAGAATGTGATTAATATACTGGTTTCAATATTAATCTGGAAACTTTGCAATTGCAATATTTATATTGAAAATGTCAATTACTACCAGCATAAGCAGAGTTTCTCGACCAATCACCATTTCTCAACAAAACATTTTAAGAGTTGCTAATTGGCAAAAACTGATAATATACAGGTCAAGTTTCAACTCTTAAAAATAGTGTAAAAAACATGATAGAGATCCCGGGCTGCCAATAAAAGCGTTGCCAAGTAAATTTTAGTCGAAGCTGAAGTTTATAACTGCAGTATGTGACACAAAACTACAGGTGCTTTTTTAAAATGATTCCACTAATATGGTAGCGAAAGTTACAGAGTACATTTGTGTCCGACGCTACCCCCTTACAGTAGATTTGGTCACGTGTTTTTGTTGGATGTGTATTGAAAACATGGCCGCTCATTGTTAGCTTGGTTGAGTTCTGAAGCGTAAGAAATGGCAACATCACACTGGTGGCAGCGGTGTTCGACGCCTATCACGCCGCAAAATCCCTTCAAACAGGATTTGGATGATCTTAACCAGTTTTTCGTTCGTTCCGAGGTTATGGAAAGCTCAGATACCCAAGTTGCGGAAACACCACGTGCAAAGTCAAATCCATTCTGTAGCGACAGTGGTTTCGCTGAGCCAACAACGCCGCTCGCAACGTCAGCAGGTCAACCGATAGTCACAGTAAAATCGTCCAACCCTTTCCGTAGCGACGATACCGTGTCAAACGTAGAGAAGTCGTCAGAACTCCCGGCCGACCAAAGAATCAGAAAACCAGTGAAACTCCCCGAAGACTTCGATGGGAAGCAACCTCTCAAAGAATACTTGTTACATTTCGAACGTTGCTCGCTTATAAACGGTTGGACCGAGGAGGAAAAGGCGATGTTTTTGGCAGCAAGTCTNCAGAAAATGCTGCCCTAAAAAGAAAGCAAAAACAGCCACGTGCGCAGGTGTGTGTACAATTTATTACAAAATTAGCATCACTGGTTTCAAACACTTGACTTTATGTTCATATTTCAAAACATGCACAAACCTTACTGTTTTGTCTCTTTGTCCAGGATGGAGACTTCACATTTAAGAAGACCCGATTCCTGGCACAACCATCAAAAAAAGCCAATTGTCCAGCAAGGTTAAAATTACGAGATGTCATCGCATTTCCACAATAAAAGGTATTTAATTTCTTTAATTATATGCAAAATGACAACTCATAACCATTACAAATATCAAGAAATGAATGTACTCAGAAAAAGCATCAGCAGCTTCATAAATCACCACCATCATGACAAAATTACAAAATTATTGTGTTGGCAGTTAATAAAAGTAATAATATGACTAATATTTAAGCAATTAACATCTTTTCATAATTATTGTTATGATATAAACAATTAGTAAAAATAGATTAGTTAGAAAATAATTTCTGGGCAAGTTATACTTTTCAGTTTTCAGTATTCTATATAATAATAATTTATTGATTATTATTGATTGCAGATTGAAAAGGATAGCAAACATGAGAGGTCAAAAGCATCTAAAAGATTGAGGGAAGATATGGCCAAAGGAAATGTGACATCTGAGCGGAGAATTTACATAGAGTTTCCGACTCAGACAGACCATGCACATCATCTCATAGGAGAGGTAAGAAGTGCAATACATTAATTAGTTTCAATTGGAACTCCTACTGAACAATACAACCAAACACTATTTTTCCATGTTATTGTTCCGATTGATTCCCAAGTTCACAAGGAATCTGACAGCATTGCACTTTCCTCTCTAACTCAGTGGTCATTCTTGCTAATTACAAAAATTGAATTGTTGCAACATAAGCCAAGTGAAGTTCTAACAATTGTACATGCAATAATCTTGTTTAAAAAGAAAAATTGTTTTGTACTTGAATTATTTGAAATCGATAATATTAACCCTAATAACAAGCCATTTCTAAGTACAAGTTCTCTTTGTCATATCTTGGGCTATTGCAGGTTGCTTTCACTTTTGGCAGTCACGAACATATCTCGAAAATCACCACACAAAATCTGTAAAAACTAACAAAGCCTACATCTTACTCTGATGAAAACAAGATCAATGGTTAAAGTGGATTCACTCTGCAATCATGTTTTTTTTAATTCATGACACTTAAAAGCTTTGAGGTCACAAAAATGTCAGAGCTTTTCCAGTAACACAAATCTTAAAAATTCCATAGATTTTGCACCTGGACACTCCCTAACCAAAGGAACTAAAGTAGCTCAAGATATGTCAGATTAAAGTCGTCTAGTGGCCATTTAAGGTGCCCCTTCCAAACAACACTCTTTCTAGTAATAAAAGTTCTTTTTAGAGCTATGACAGTTCTCTGTGAGTGTGTCAGAAATTTAGACACCAAACATTAATAGTCATTTTTTTAATAATTAAAAATATTATGGTAATCTGACGTCTCCACACATTTTCATTTCTACTCAGGGAAGTGGCCTATTTCAGCTTGTGGATGAAAGGATTATCAGAAAAATTGATGAGCTGGTTAATGTGGGAGTTAAAGACACCCGTGAGATGCGGAGACACCTTGATGTCTTTGTAAAAAATGAAATAATATCGGAGGATGACATCCAGCCACCTCCTTCAAACCGAAGGTTTTATCCTAAGCTAAGTGACATAAGAAGCCATATGTACCGGGCAACCATGAAACACAGATTCTCTTAAGTTGATAAAGAGAATGTGGCTGAAAAAATCACCATTGGAAAGCGTCTAACCCAGAAGACTTCTTCCACTTCTGCCCATATGGAGGGGCCCCTTCTGGGGAAGGTGATAAGGAAGAGGATATCCAAACCCTTCTATTCATCCATCAAACTGCATGGCAGCATAGACTCCTGGAAAGATATGGCAATGACATGTGTTTACAGGATGCTACATACAAAACAACCCGCTACTCTTTGCCTTTGTTTTTCCTCGTGGTGGGCACAAATGTCGACTACCAGGTAGCTGGATCATTTGTAGTGCAAAATGAAACATCCCATTGCATTAAAGAGGCCTTGCAACTTCTTCAAAATGAAAACCCTGGTTGGAACCCAAAAAACTGCATGACTGACAACTGTGAACAGGAGATAACAGCTTTGGAAGATATATTTCCAGGTACTATTGAGTTGTAGAGCCTTAAAGAATTATAGAATGTAAACTATAAAACTGTGTAGGGTATATTTGCTCTTGGAATACCATTTTCAGAATATGTCCCACAATTGTTGTGCTCTAACTATTCTCTTGCAGTAGATATAATTTCTGTCCAGCAACTACATATAACTAAAAATAGTTTATTAGAGGCTGAACATCATCCAGTTGGATTATGACTACTTAACAGCTCTTTCCCAAAGAAATTCAGGTTCTTGTCACTCAGAAGTAACAGCACTGACTTCTTGGCAAGTCCACATGAGAGACAATAGTTTGGACAAGAGCAGGTCTGAAACTATTAATCATTTGCCAGATATGCTAAATTATTGAATTGCAGGGTGCACAGTCTTTCTGTGTGATTTCCACAGAGAGCAAGCTTGGGAAAGGTGAACAGCCAAAGCAACAAATGGAGTATCACCTATCAAAGATGAAGTACTTGCAAAATTTCGGCTTATGGCAAATTGAGAGACAGAGAAGATTTACCAGGAAAGAGTGTGCTCCTTGAAAAAATCCAATTTCTGGAAGGAAACCAAAATCTACAGGTGTGCTTTGAAAACCACTGGTTAAAAGAGCACAAGGTCAGTGCAAGTTATGTACAGAGAAACTAGCAACTGCTATTATAATTACTCTTGCTTGGCCTTAGATAATACAAGGTTTATGTTGTCTTTGGAGATTTGGAAATCTTTAATATGTCACTCTTGTTGTCATTTCAAACCTTTCATTTTCTAGCGCTGGGTAAAAGCATTCCGGAAGGAGATCTCCATTCACACAACAAATGGTGTAGAACGC